AACCAAGGACATTATATCTGCTTCGAATTTAGTTTTGCTCATTTTAGATATACGGCAACAAAACACACATATATCAGTTGTTAATAATAATTTTTTTCCTTCTGTTCAATACATATATGTGTGCAGTCGTCCTCAAATGTATTCATAGCCTCCCATTAAAGAAGGAAAAAAACAAAACAGCTGTCACTGAAATAAGCTGAAATTGACAAATAAATAAAAATTTCATGAAAATCATGACATTGCTTCTGAATTGTGGTTCAACAGAAATATTTTTAAAAAACAAGCAAACAAGCCTGATGGGACCCATAAACTAGTATTTAGTTGAACAACCCTTTGAGCCAATCAGGTGTTTTCTGTAACTCTCAGTCAGACTTGTGCACCTGTTGACAGGTATTCTGATTTCACTGCTCATCAGCAAAGGGCTCCGGGACATCTTTTTATTTTTTTAAATTATTCTTTTCAACCACAATTCAAAAGCAATGTCTTATTTCACTAATTTATAATTTAACAAATTTGTATTTATTATTACTTTTTTCAGTTTCTAGTAATTTAAGTGACTGTTGTGAATTTTGCCTTTTCTTTAATGGAAGGGTATGAATATATTTGTATGCACACCCCCTGCATCCTAAATCACCCCTTTGGGAGACTAGACTTCGATGATGTAATTTGTTTCCACGGTCTCACCCTGGCGGCCTTGACGACACCCCACACATGCGAGTGGAAGCAGACAAATATAGCAGCGACACCCACCGTGACCTCCGACCTCCAGTCGGCATTGACTGGAGTTCACTGGGCCGTCCTGACTGGGAGGGGTCGGCCTGAGACAATAGGCCTCTGACAGACTGGGAGCATCAGAGGTGACCTCAAAGGGAACGAACACTCAATTTGGGAGTCCATAAACATTCACACGACACCATGAAGCAGTGAATCGCGGCCTGTCAGAGACTCCTGTAAGTGTCAAAAGGAGATTATTGTAAATTTGCAGACAGTAATAAGTTGCCAGAAACTAACAACAAATCTCTTTCTTCCTTAATAATATGCGACAAGAGACTTCTTTACTTCTGTAAAGGCGGCTTATATTATTTAAATCTTATCGGCGTTTGTCGGGTATAAAAGAAGTCAAGTTGACATTTACCTGAAACAATGAACAGAACTCTGAAATACCAGAGACGTAGAATTATTTAAGGTGTCGCTGTAAAAGAACCAGATAACAGCGACAGCGTTTACCTGATGTCAGAGCTGCTTAAACAAACAGCCAGAGTGGTCACAAGTTGAAGCTAATGTCTTATTTATAGCTTTGGTTTCTTTAAATGTTAAATAGTTATCGTCTGCCCCGTCTACACAGAGGAGTTTTGCATCTTCTTTTGTTATTTATACCATTTATTTCCCCATTTTTGTCCCCTTTACAATCAGATGTCTTTAAAGCAGCCATCAGTAGTGACTCCGGCTCTTGTTTTCTTTCCACCGTTGCCCCCTGAATGACACTCCTTTGTCCTCTGGGTGCCCCGGTGCCTTACCTCCACCCAACCAGCTCACTTCCTTGTTTTTCTTGCCACTCACTTGTCCTGTGAACTGATATCTGTGGCAAAATAAACCAAACAGAGACCTCTCACCTTTCACGTCAAATAAACTTCACACCTCTGTCTGGCCTGAGAAGAAAAATAAACTCCACGCATACTGTCACACACATCCTGGGAGGGTAAGAAGAGTTTGTGGAGGTAATCTGTGCCTTTGTCTTGGACAGAAACGAAGCCTTTAAGCTGCATTTATCTTTTCTAACAGGCAAACATGCACACACACACACACACACACAAAGAGAAGACAACACATCTGTGTAGGTATGGGCAGAGATGCAGGGAGGAGATTCTGTTACATGCACCTCTCATTCCTCGCCGGGATCAGAGGATTTTGAACGAGGAAAGGTCAGAGACTGCGATTTGGAAGGTTGCGTCCAGATTGCCACTCCACTGGCCAGTTGGACGGATGTGCAGGATTATGTCAAATCTGCACTGTATTGTTGCATTTTAGTCAAATTACTCCGCTCTCATCTGTGATAATAGGCACACACACACACACACACCAGCACACACACATTCATAGTCGTAGCACACTACTTACTTGCATAATGGATTGAAATTTGCCATTGTGGGGAGATAGACAGGTGTTACTTTGTTTAGAATGATTGGAGTTGATTTGGGACTCG